AAAACTTTTTGTGAGTTCGAAGACTAGGAGCCGGCTTCTGTTTCCTCTTTCACATTAATTATAGTTCAAATCTTCCTCGGATCTCAGCCCTTACCCCCAGTAGTCACCAGTACAATCTTCGAAATTCCTCCTTCATTATACCCCCTCCAACCTCTTCCACCTCTAGGCGTTCTATGTTTTCGTTTCCAGGTATGCGATTCTTTGGAAGAACCTTCTAATAAATGAAAGATTATCATATAAGCTACAAACCTTTAACAGAAGGCCGTGCGTTTTCCTGAATGTTGACCCGATTAAACTTTTACTTCCCTTATCCTGCCCGGGCAATTTTCTCAATGACACCGAGAAGGGGCCATCGGGAACTTGGGGCCGCCACTAAATTACCGTACCCTGTCACGTTTACCTCTCTTGTGCGTAGTTTCGCCTCCTAGGACTCCTCATCAGAAATTTCAGTTTTTTGACCTTTCAGTTCATGCACCATGTTGCTCACAGAACGCGATATCCTCCCTGACAAATGCTCTCAAAGAATTATCATGGATAGGTTAACGTGCACGCTCTAAGCCGCCTCGTTTCGCAAATCGCCGACAATTAACAGAAATCCAGCGGTTTCTAACCCTTACTCCCCAACCGTCGATGTTCGTGGATTTTTATGTCAACTGCTCATTTAGGCCACAAATGGTCTGTTAACGATCACGCAGCGAATACTCTGTTTTCGCCACTTACTGCTAGTGTGGTCGGCATACAAAGAGGTGTCTAGGTCGCATTCTCATCTCTACACTTCGATGAAAGCCCTAGCGTCTAGTGTCCTTTCCTCGACTGGACTCTAAGCGCACTGTGTGTGATCGCGTCTAGGTTCCCCTATCTTGCCACTTTGAGGCAGATATCCACACCCAGCTTAAAAACCTCTGCCTTGACGATTTACGTTTCGTGGTGGGGGGTGGGAGGCGACGAGGGCTGACGATGGCTAATAAGCTAGAAATGGCCATTGCAGTCGCCCTTGCCTCTGTGTGCAATAAAATGTATTTATTTATTTATTTGATTGCTTGTACCTTATTCTTACGAAAGCCTTCTCCAATATTAAGGAAGTGTTTTCCAGTGCACCTCTCGGTAAAACAGACTATACTACGCTACTGTGGCATTATTCGCTCTTCCTTCAACGTCAGCAGAGAATAGAAGGCCAAGCTTATATACGGAAGGCAGGTTTTAACACAATGAATAACAAATCGATGTCCGTGAACTGTGACCATTTGCACAAGGGAGATCCGGAGGGGGACTAGAAATCGTTCAATATGATTTCACTCAATTTATTTCAGCGCTGTTGCCCACCAAAGCTGAAAATAACCACGTGTTAACCTGCCTGGCTAACTAGGGACTTGAATAACCGTTAAGGAGGAATCGCAAGAGTTGGAAGATATTCGGGGAAAATGGGTCACTAGTACATCTCGAGGAGTTTCGTCGTCCACGAAATGAAGTCAAAAAGTGCATTCGTCAGGCACGGATGGAATATAAATCCGGAGTTATCCGACGGGCTGAACAAAATTCCAGGATTTTATTTCACTCAGGTAGTCAGTGTATTTGAGGGTAATAGGCTTACGCCTTTGAACTCCCTATTTGTACAAAAAAATCATAAATAAGCAGAATATGAAGAAATTACAGCGCTAAGTGTAAGCTGGCATCGATTCACATATGTCACTGGTCTCATGGTTAAAAAGTCACATAGCCCGCTTGTTGCTGTAGCATACGTCTGTCAAGCCTACATTTAAATGTCGCCACAGATTGACACATGACAACCGTCTCGGGCAGATTATTCCACGGTTCCACGACACGGTTGAAAAAGAAATATTTTCAGACATTCAATCTACCCTGGGGCACACGTAGCTTTAAGGGATGTCCCCGGATGTTAGTTGTTGTGGCGAGGTGGACCAGTTCATCGCACCGAAGGGCGCAGTCCAAGCCACGCACGATACGGAAAGTTTGTATCAAGTCTCCGCGCAACTGTCTATTACTCAGAGGATAGAGATTAAGGTTAGCTAGGCGGACCTCGTATGGCAGTGTACTTTGACCTCTTACTAATTTTGTGGCTCGCCTCTGCACCCTGTCGAGCAGATTGTAATCCTGATGTGTCCATGGTCTCCAGGCCTGAATTGCATATTTGAGATGCGGCCTTACAAATGTGCCGAAGACTTTGGAGAAGCAGTCTTCATCCAAAACTACGAATGCCCGCTTGATGGCATATAGCATTGAAGTTGCGGACTTGGCCGCCTTACAACATTGCGTAGAAGGCTTAAGGCTGTCTGCAACCCGGAGTCCGAGATCTTTCTGCGTTTCTGCTTCTCGAAGTGGTATTCCGTTCAGATGATATTGCCGCATACTAGGGGTCTGATTTTCGAGACGCAGTATGGTACATTTGTTCAAATTGAAGAACAAGAGCCATCTGCGGGACCACACGTCCAATCGACAAAGATTTTCTTGGAAGTTGATCTCATTGGCAGCATTCTGGATGACTTTCCAGATTTTTATGTCATCCGCAAACATGGTACCATCACAATCCAATTATTGATGAACAAGAGAAAGAAGGCTGGTCCGAGCATCGAGCATTATGGGACTTCACTCCCTATCAATGTCCACCTTGATTGCTGTCTTTCTACGCAGACAATTTGGGAACGGCCGACGAGGAAGTTCTCGATCCATTTAAGAAGTTTGCCGCCGATACCCATTATTTTCAAGTTGTGCAGGTCGACTAAAAATAAAGGACTCGGTCGCAGTACTGAAGGATGATGATGATGATGGTGTAGAAATAGTTAAACACAGCGAGAAAAAGGAACATTTAGGACGGTACTTTGCCTTGGTGTTCATTAGGGGAACGGAGTTTAGGGGTCGCAAAGTCAGAAATGCTGTTGAGGCCGCTGGTCCTGTGCTTTAATCTATGCCCCTCCCGTCATCTATCGTGGAACGAGAACTACAAAATGTCAAACAAGCAAAGTCGTTCGGTCCAGACAATATACCGGCCACATTCTCGAAAGAATTGACAGAAAAACTCCCGGAACCGCTAACACATATCTTCCGTTCGTCGTTCGAATTAGGGAGGCTGCCATCTGAATTGAAGTAAGCAAATATCTTTGCGACATCCTAGCGTAGTACTAACGCTGGTGCTAACAATTGACGGCCCGTTAGTCTCATATGCATCGGCTGTAAAATAGTCGAAACCATAAATAAGAAGCTGACAATTAAGTTCCCGATGCAGCACGGCTTCAGACAGAACCGCCCACGCCTTTCCAGTTTATTACTTTCAACGGAGCTGTGGGCACGCGCACTGGACGAGGGTGGTACAGTCATAGTCATCTACGTGGATTTTGCAAAGGCGTTCGACAGTGTCCCTCACAAACGCCTAACCAACAAACTGTCTGAAATTTTAATAACAGGAGGGCTGCTGATATAGATCGCAGATTTTCTTACAGGAAGACCACAAACCATGCGTGTGTTGATGTTTCGAAGTCAACTCCTACGCCGTTAAAAGTGGTTTTTCCTAGGGTTCAGTCTTTAGGGGCGTTACTATCTCTAGTTCACGTTAACGACTGCGTCGGCGACCTGGGATGCAACGCCGATAGGTTTGCTGACGACGTTAGTTGTGGAAAGCCATCAGATTTGACGCAGACAGGTACGCGCTTCAAGTGTGTTTCAACCAGCTAAGCAGTTGGTTAGCACGTTGACTTTCCAATTATAATATGGGCAAATGTGTGGTCCCGAGACTCGGCACCAAAGGGACCAGTACGGATGGTGATTCGTTTCAATACGTCCTTGATGGGCAACCCTTCTGAAATGCTGAGGAACAGAAAGACCTCGGCGTCCTAATGACCTCCTTCCTTAAACAATCGTTACTGTGTCAGGGGCCAGCCAAACGCGCGATATGGGAGTTATTTGCACTGAGGCGAGAATTTGTGGAGATCAATAAAGAGCTCTTCGGTAAAACTGGCGGGACATTCGTTCGGTCTCACCTAGAGTATGCGGTTCAGGCCTGACGACAGTGGTACAAGAGGGATTATCAACAGCTGGAAAGAGTACAGGAGGTAGCTATGAGGCTGGTCAAGAATCTTGATCATCGGCCTTACAAAACCAGATTTGCTGAACTAAAATCATTTCTTCTCAATTACAGGCAACTATGCGGCTATCCCATTTAAACCTACCAGATTATTAGAAGACGACAGTGAGTCGTAGACTTTGACAAATTCTTCGAATTGGCTGGGACAGACCGTCAGTGTGGTCATCTTTTTAAAATGCAAAGGAAACTGGCTTATACGGACATCCGACGAAACTCCTTCTCGCAGAGGGTGCTTGAGGCATGGTACGGTCTCTCTGATATGGTGGTTCTTTTCGAAACTGTCAAGAACTTTAAGTGCAGACTAGATGCTCATTTTCTGAGGAACTACTGTACATATAATCAAGATTGTGTTAGGGGCGGCCGTTTGCGCCTGGCTCACATTTGCTGTTTACTTTTGAATTTCCAGATTGCCTGATGTAAAAATTGATTATATTGCTGTTTATCGATATAAATAGGGGACTCATTCCCTTGATAAATTGACTTAAACAGACTTTGAATGGAAAGCGCAAGGACGTCAAGAGATCTGTCGGGAATTTTAAACAATATGAAGGTTAGGCTGAAGACTGGCATATAGTGGCTTGTTTAAATTCAATATCGCAAAAGTGTTTCACATCTGATAGGCAAGACTGAATCTGCTTGGTTTCTCCTTTTCGGAAGGAGGCATTGTGATATCGTTAAAGATTTTGGGAGAGCTAGGAGATATCTATAATCCAAGATTAAACTGACTCACGACATAATGAAGCTGTCCCCAAGGGGGCATATGTGACGGCATTTAGTCACGAACGGTCGTTGTTCATAGATCCGTGAATTTGTTAGTCCGTTCGACCTTGAAATACTGTGAAATTTGTTTAAATCGATAAATTCGCCTTACTAGTTATTGTGAGCTCGTGACTCGAGTGCTGGTATGCGCCTCTCCGCCGTTCCCCTTTTCTTTCTCCTGCTCTCAGTAGCCTCGCAACCTTCAGTTTATTTAAAATTGCAAAATGACGAACCAAATTGTTTTCACAACGATGTTGCCTCCGGAATCTTGATCCAAAGTATTTCTCTTTCGAAAATTAATTAGACTGTGCTATTCAACAGTTTCCTACAGACTTGAGCCTTTTGTCGACAAAATGAAAATAAAGCCAGAATACCAGAAGGAACTTTCCATCAAAGTAGTCATGTATGACCCCGAAAACGAGGTGCAACTCTCTCGCGTTTGTTGCTGGGCTTTTTTGATTTTCCAAATTCTGTCTAGGTTTACAAAGGCAAAGGTCAAATATATTACACCAGTACTCGTTCCGGAATACACAAGGCTTGCATAGAGCCTCTTTTTTCCGACCCGCATGCAGTCAATACGATGGTTTTTTCTGAATTTTCCTACGAAATTTAAAGAAAGCTTACCTAGATATTAAAAACGTTGGTGCGCATAACTATACAGAAGTCGCGATCAAAGAAAAATTGTCCAATCTACAGCTGAAGCTTCGACATACCCAAGATCAAGTGCGGCTTATAATAAGTCGACAACGATATGCTGATGTGAGTTTCGGAACATCCACGTACTTCTCTCTATAGAGAGAGGCCTCACTAATCGCTTAGATCAAATAACATATTGCCTTATTCTGTTTCACACTCCACACAGATTATTTGAGCCCGTGGAAGTAGAAGAGTCCATAGCAGGAGAGATACGAATCCTGTTTCCAGTTTTTAGTATTTATTATTTTTTACTTAATTTATTTAAGGCGTTTACTACTATCTCTTAAAGGCTTTCAGTTTCGCACAAAGTATCCTGTTCCTTAATGCGCGTAGACGTCGCATACATATAATCATAGCTCAGGGTCGCATCTACTTCCCTAGTAGCCATTCCATAGCGAGTTGACGGCGGTTCGGTGTGAAAAAGTCGCGATACGGTGCTATGCAGCTGCGGGACGCCTTTCCTTTGAGACCTTTCCCTTATAGCACCTACGAATGCTCTTTTACGCACCTCCCATCTGATTTATTACTAAACGAAATATGTTAGCCCCACCCCCACCCCATGAAAGTTGAATGAAAACGTTATGACGAAGTAAAAAGTAAGGTTTTATTATAAAAATATAAAATAAAATTATTATTGGCGCTACTCTTCACGCGGCCGCGACGAGGATGGTTCTGTTGACGGTTCTGTACCAACTATGTGTAATAAAAGTGTAGCTTCACTAACCATCAGAGTTATCTAAAATAGAATCCGGCTAAGAACTTCGTTTTCGAAGGGCGTCCAGTGATCTCTTCAGCCGCCTTGTGAAGGCGGCCTCGAGTTCATAAACGTCGACCCTCCCTCCTTTGTTCCAGGTTGTGTAAACGTCTGTTTGACATGCAGGGTTACATATAAGCAAGTGCCTACCCTCTATTACGTCATATACCTGTGAACCACACAGGCCTTCCTTTGTCTTTTTTCCTCTGAAATTCATGTGAACAGTAGCCTCGTCGACAAATAGGGCATAAAATACCCTCTTCACGAAGTCGTCGGTGTTACGCCCACCGAGGCATACCAGGAAGTTTGTCTATGAATGTCGTAAAATTCGATAAGCCTTACCAGCTGAGACTTGACCTGAGGGTCATGCAGTCTACTGTTTAGCTCCAGGAAGTCGGACTTTGTGCAAATGGGCCGCCTTAGGGGATTGGTAGGTAAGGCGGCCTCCGAGCTTTCTGGGGCAGGCTGTCGACGATTTTCATTTGCCTGCATGGTCTGCAGGTTCTCATGGATGCTTAAATTGCTCTTTATGAGCCGCGCCAGTTGTTTACGCATAAATTCAATCGTTTTTCCCTGTCGTCCCATCTGAGACTGCATATCAGTAATCATAGCCCGGCAGGACGGGTCATGGCAAACTACAAAGAAAATTAATGTCATCTAGCATTACTCGTGTAGTTTGGCGGTCGTCGTGCTGGAAGGGTGTCAACTGATTCTCGATCGGACTCTCTTGTATCCTAAGCAGAATCGTCGTAAGTATATGGAAACTTACTGCCGGCGACATTGGCGGCTCGCCAAGTTCCCGGAACCGCTTATCAAATGGATTGCGGCGTTGTCTAGTAGACCTTCGCCGACCATTCTCCTTGTCACTGGAAGAGGTAGCCATGGATGTCTACAACCGCACAGAGAAAAATACGAGTTAGTAGCTTCACCTATAACTACGTCCACCACATCCCATGATGCTTGTTAACCACTAACTAGGTACTGTGTGGTTATAGGGTCAACGAGCGTTGTCTATGCAGAGGACGGGAGTGATAGTGGCCAAGGCTGCTTGTTCATAGCCTAATATTTTCATTAATAAGCATGAGTTATCTAGAGGAAAGCAAACGTACTTAGAGAAGGTCACGGGAAAGTGTGCACAGTCAATTATTTTTGAGATATCACCTGTGTACACCTGTATGGCTGATGACTCTGCAAGATACAGGAAGCAATCAGCGATGTTAGTGAATTCGCTGTATACTGGTGAATCTGTCCTGTTCTGTCTAGAAGTATGTTCTTTACACAGACTATTTTGTCGCCGAGGGTTATGCACCGATTAGCTGAGAAAGTATCCACTCGAAAACCGGTGCCCACTATGCAGGTGAACTGTTTTTGAACATCCATGCCCTCTGGAATCGGGCCCCTAGTGTGCTTACGCAGAAGCCGAAATTGTTGACCACTGTGCGAGCACACACCTTGTGCGTCAAATTCACTAAGTCGCCTAGCTATTTGCTGTAGCGGTCTGGATGGACCAAGTAAGAGTCTCTTCAGTCGACGAAGGTAACTCTCAAATGGGAAGGATAAAATTTGAAATTTCAAATACGACCGAATATACATAATGAAAGTCTACCGGGTGCCACTTTAGCGTGAAGGTCCAGCAAATTAAATCGGACGTAATGACCTCCGATGGTCACCCCAATCAGCCTAATTTTAGCTTTTATTTTCGGTACAGTTTTTAAGTGGGTTTATGGGCAGCTAGAAAAAAGCAACGACTGTTCTGGCCACATGCACTTTGCATTTTTTCCAGTGACCAAGGTAGATTTAGCAAAAATTAGTTTACTCTAGGTGGTCATTTTTATTACAATTGTCCTTCAAGTCCGTCATACCGTACGCATCCATTGAGGCAGAGCTCTTAACGCCTACCCTGGTTCTCCACAACGAAACACTGGAATCACTATATGAGCTCTTTTGTTTGACTTTGATTTTTAACTTTTTGAAAGTAGGCGCTCACTTTCCGTCTACAATGGCATATCGTTTATCCGTATGCCACTTAATCGATTTTTTCCTCTAGTCACTACGGCTACGATTTAAAGCATCACGACAGCATCAATAAGTCAGCCTTCAAATTGATATACCGTTGTTTTAGGTTTATTTAACTTTTATTTAGCAAACCACGCAAAAATGCGCGCACACAGCACAGATAGTCATAGATAGATTGACCGAATGAAAGTACAATAAGCCAGAAACAGCGCTGTGTCAGTTTTTCCCCGTCTTTGTCTATGCTGACCTTGGCCGAATTCGTCCTGGTAGGTGATTTCCTTTTCTTGACCTTTCTAATTCCCAATTTATACGCTTGAGGAAGCCGATAGTTCAGCCTAAACCCATTCCTGTGAGTAACAAAGGCCCCAGTTGTGATTTTGTAATCCATGTTATCTCGATACAACTATTTGACGATTAACTGCAAACACAAGCTCGAACATGTGTGAAACATAACAGCTGCTTCCTAATCCATCACCATACATTCACTACATTAGTATGCAGTCGCACTAGTTCCTGTTTTTATACTGTCTTCCTTTTAACTCCTTATATTAATCAAGGTTGTGTCATTCTTCTGAGTTATTCACGTAAACTTGTACTTTGTTGTTTGGAATTTCGACCCATTAATATAGGTACTGTTGCTTACATTCTCTTGAACCACACTAAACACCACCTTATGTGTTTATCAGGAAGCAAACGTAATAAGCAGCAGGACATGTGCGCAGACAATCTGGAAAAAAAATAAATCTTAAACGCTTTAGCTTGTTGCAGCATGTTTTGTGAGAGGTGCAGCTTTGCGAATTGAGGATCGAGGACCCATTTAACCGTGACATCGTGCAGTTCTTAGTAAAGATGTTATGTTTACAATCTTCCTAACCTACGTATTTTTCGGCAACTTTTCAAGACTAATTGGAGAACTGTGCAGTCTTTAACACCAAACCTTTCAGACTTCGACTCTTATGTCTTTAAGGACTTAATGGCTTGTGACACCCGCATTAGCTTAAGCTTCGGCCGTTAGATTTTTCTTGGCGCCAAAATACGTTATTCAAAATGTGTCCGCTTTGCCTTGGTAAAGTGTGTTGAGTCAAGGCTAGTTTTATATAATTCCGTCTGTAATTTGTGAGGATAAAATTGGAACTGTGAAAATCGGACCAATCAACTTAGGCTTCCGCAGCCTCTAACCTATAATTACTTCCCACCAGCACCAGCCCCGCCTGATGAAGGGACTATGATGGGGCGCTAGGAGAGGTACCAAGAAGCCGTGGTGGGGCAAACCCCCGGTGCTGCCTCTTCTTGCCCCCACTCTGGAAAAAAGCGCAGGAGCGATACCGATTTTCCTCGCAATCCTTGCCACCTCAGACCTTCGTGTTTTATTGCAATGCTCCGAACGAACCAGATTGACGGGACACAATGGTTGTAGAGAATTTGTAAAACCAAAAAGGTAAAAATAATATGTACAATAAGTCGTGCCTTGTCACGGTACATATTGAGCGTGGCTGTCGTTATCGGTAGCGGGTTCCTGTGAGAAAAGAAAGCAGGTGGCAAGATATCTTGAAGGCTGTGGTAATAAATAAATGGCGAAAAATCATACTACTGAAGTCTGCCTTCTAGCAATGTATCCTACTGTGCAAATCAGTATGAAGTAAAACATTATGGATATAAGCAGGTCTTAAACATATGAAGAGAGGCGTTTTTACAGTGTCTTTGGATGTAGACATTGTAAGATAAGGTGCGGCCATGGTAGTGTAGACGGGAAGCTGAAAGGAGGTTAGAACGACTCGGGGCAATTATTTTACCTTCGTAGTAGTGTCCCGACTTTTGGCTCTGCCACAATATTTGTTTCGCACTCCCTGAAACCAGTCAGTTGCACCCTCGCGATCGGAGTCTGTAGTGCAGTCGAAGGCGGCGTGTTCACGAATTTCAGCTGAACAAGTACACTTAAATATATAACGTACCAATGAGGAGGCAATAAAGAGGGTTGCCGACAAAGGCCGGTTTTTCTCTTGACCCGCCCCAACAGAAACTGAGGCATAGGGGGTGGCCGAGTAGAGCAGTCAGACGATTCCCGACAAACTCTTTCTCGTTTCGGCCGCCAATGACGGCCAGACGTTTTATCTGTAATCCATCGAAAAGATACATAAGCATAAATATTTACATATCGTCACCTGAGCAAGACCTTTCTTTAAATGCTTTTATATATTATTGTGCATTTGTCGAATTAACTACTCATTTTATCACCTACTTGTAACGTTGTGCGGTAAACATGCTCAAATATCATTAGCTATGTTTACTTTTGTTTCGCGAAGTTCCTCTTATTATGGAACTCCTACTCCACTTTGTGCACTGCTCATACGAAAGCTTTACTTTGAAACGAAAGAGGAAATGTTCGGTTATGTCTTTGTTTCCGAAGGAAATCTCCTTTGTATTTAAAATCTTAGAACTTATAATAGCATTTCCATGCCATTTTGTTGGCATTTACGTAGTTGTTTGTAACCCGTCTCCCCTCATTAGTAGTTTATATCACTTCGTTCTCCGAACTACCTTGCCACCATTACTAGCAGCTGAATTGGTCATGCGGAAAGATTGTATTAGTTGTAATAGCAATGAAGATGCAATCCCACGTAAGGCGTACTGATTGCTTAGGAAGAACGTTATCATTAAGTTGCTTAATATTAAGTGCGGGTGTCCACAAAGTCAAAGTTTGATTGGAATTTAAACAAAGTTACATACAATATGTTGGCCACTATGGTGTGTGAGTTTACGAATACACTGCTCTTTACTTGCCCCTCAACGCCGAGTCGAAATTCTTCTTGTGGTATTCCATGACAGGATTTGTTGCCTTTCTTTTGCTTGTTCAACTTAAATCCCACTCCAACCAGCGTCACAAGAAACAGATTTGGAACCATCGGCCAATAGTCCGCTTCTCAGAAATTCTTTCCTCGAATACTGAAAGTTCCGATTTGCAGATAGAGATAGAAATGAGTGCCAAGAAGGATACATCCTTGACATAAGGAATAAATAGGCATCATCTTGGGAACTGACCAGAAGGGGCACTTCAGTGTCTATAAGAAATCTCAAAATACTGCACTCCAAAATTACATTTTCATTGCCAAAGCTTATATCATTTTCAGACACGCGAGCGACGTTTCAGGCAAACAACAGACGCCATCAGCCAGAAAGTCCTTCTCTTTGGAATTTGGCATGTATTGACTCTGCTTGCCATTGGATACTGCCAACTGAGATCACTGAGGAACTTTTTTATTGCCAAAAAGCTTGTCTAGAGGATTGTTTTTCCTGATGCCTTGTGCCATGCAGAACCTCAGCGCTCTTGCCTTCATTGTTCACCTCATCTGTTTAAGTACTGCTTGAATTAACCTCTTTGGTGTATCCCTCAGCCTATTCATTCAATAGAACCACTTAGCTTTCTTAACTAATAGTAACCCTGGGACGTTTTTGCTGATGTTTCTACCCAACGCGAGACTTCTTGGATAAAGAATTTAAAAGTTTGGGGGAAGGGTTGACAGCGAATGTGGGTAAATGGATTCAGCAATACTCCGGATTTATTTTGCCATTATTCAGCCATCCATAACCCCGACCACCAGCTGGAACCAGAAAAACATGCGCTCGCGCATGGCTCAGACTGTTTACAGTGGTTCAAGCCTAAATGTAAAGCATTATGCCTTCACTTCCAAATGCTGATTCTTTAGGTATTTTTCCTTATCCGCAAAAAACGACCAAATACAGTCTTAAACGTTAACACATGGGCAACTCTGAGTCTTGCACTGCGCACTATGTATTCCGCATGTCGATCTGACTCTTGGTTGTTATCATCGAAGGAAAAACTAGCAAGCCATTGCGATATTTTTACTTGATTATTCACTTATGAATTCAACACCCAGTACTGGGAACCTCCTTGCCTGGGATCATTTAGTAAACTGCCTTTTTATTTTAGTTGGTTCTTTGGGGCTTTTCAGTATCTCTTACTGATAGCCTTGGGGAGCAACGCAAGGTCTCAGCTATTTCTGAGTACGGTTTTCGGTATAAGCGTTTCTTTTGACAACTGCACATAATCACTTCGCACAGAAGGCAGTGTCAACTGAAGGTATTTCAGTCAAGAAGTTTAAGACTAACTTCGTAACCTTAATACCAGACCAAAAGGTTCATATTCATAGATAAGATACAATATTTAGCGAACACAGTAGGCAACTACACGTCCTAGATGGCCTTTATATAGCCGTTTACATCCTAGTGAAACGACAGTTTGAAGTGGTGACGTTTTCGGCAGACTTCTTGTTTGTTATTTGCTGACAAGCTTCCGTATACTAAAGTCTCATTTTACCAATTACTCGTCTTTTAGAGGAGGTCAAGGCAGGACCATCTATAGCACTAAGTTATCATCTGGTACTTAACACTTTTAAATATTTAATAAACACTCCTAATGGTACTTGAGTTTTCCTCAAAGACCTCGTGTTTACTATCAGCCTAACCACTAAACGGGTCAATCCTTCACGCCTGCCGCGTTTGAACTGGATAGGAAGTAGAACAAGCGCCTCGCGTTTTGGGTTGATGCAGAAAGCTTTATCGAGCGACTAGTATTTTCATTGAGCTGTTTCGTGGTAGCGTGACCATAACACGAATTTTCTGCCCAATTCCACATTGTTTACATCCAACTGACAATGGTAACTTTAGACCTCATGTAAATTCCATCTACAAGTCTTCAGTAACGTGCTCTCCTAACCAAGCAGTAGCGGCGTTTGCAGTGAACAGTCATCCGAACCTTTAGAGATACGGTTCGCTAACAGGTGCTTTGTGAAGCAAATTCTGCTGTAATCCAATTTTTAAAGTTTCCGTTTGACCTCGGTATAGCAAACAGTCCTGATACTTTTAGTCCATGTATTCTGGGTACGTAAGACAGCAGGCTTTCTTGTCCGTGGGGCGATCTATTTTGTTTCTGTGGCTGACGGATAAGACGAATTTTCCTGGCATTTTAATCCTCTAAACAGTTTGAGTCGACTCAAAGCTCGCCAAACTTAGGCGAAGCGTCGCTAAGTTCTAAAACTTTGAGTTGTTCTGTCATCTGGTCATGGGGCCGGTTGGCACGGTGACAGTAATGTCTGTTGGCTCTGCCAGCTGGCTCTAACTTTTTTATATGTCGTAGTTGCCCCTGTCACTCTTGCTCATACTGTACTTTTTCAGTCTCTATCTGTGAACTCCGCGGTACAGTCATACCCGAATAGGTAGAATTGGGTACCACCGACGCTGTCGCCTCTTAGAGCACATTCGCGCGTTTCTCAAGCCACCTTTGCATATGCGAGTGACGCAGCGCTCCACTTCTGTGCCATTGCTGTGATTCTGTCGCATCACCATCGTGTGAATTATTTTCCCGTGAGTACAGGAATTTATGCAAAAATAAATGAATATGCGATCTTATAAAAAGATTAATTAAGAGGAGTCAGTATCGCACCACCCATTTGATGTTTACTCCGCTACAGACGCCTAGAAATATATGCACCCAAGCTCTCATGCTAAGGTGCCGCACATACGGCTACTTACTGAACCTAGAGCATTTCGCATTGGCTTTGCAATGCATGACCCCTCCAAACACCGTCATCTTAATGACATCGTTAATTGGTTTTCCTCGACAAACTTGACGCCATAATTCATGTCATAAATTGAATCAAGCAACGACTAAATCTCTGGAAGTTCTATTTCGTTAGTATGCACTTTCCTTTCGTACTTATTTCGGGACAGTTTTAATTCTACTTATCAACGTCCGCGTGGCAATTGGCTCAAACAATATCACACGTCTTTGCCGATATTCGCAAGCCCATAAAGTCTGGCATGGTTGGCTGTGACAGTGAACTTGATTCGAAATTTAAGTTGCCCTGGCCAATTCATCAGCTGGTCTGCAAGAGAAAAAGATGCAAACAAGCACTGCGGACCCTCGGTTGTCCTTGGCTCACACCACCTATGGCGAGTGGGGGCATCTCTAAGCACTTTGTCGTGTTATTTAATGCGTCGGTTTTCTGTAACAAACGGCACTCATGATGGTGTCTATGTGCCAATCCCAGACGCATAGCGAGATTTCACTAAAAGCAGGATTTTAAGATTATTCTTGCGTTTTTATCTTGAACGAGTTGGCAACCAAAAATCCCTCTTTCTACTAATCATTGGGCTCCAAGCCTGACATAATCCTCTTCTGCCAGCCTTTACCCTTGTCGACATGTGCCGTTGTGTGCATTTCTTTCCCTAGGGATGAGGACGGTGCTGCAAATCAAAGGATAATGAGACTATCATAAGCAGCGGTGAGGAAATGACGCCCAAAATTTCTCCATGGTGTTCATTTACACTTTTCGTATTTCATACTTTAGAATGGTCCCTTGAACCTCGCCACACAAATAAGTAATTCTTATTAAAGACCCTTTGGAGTCTCGTCGTAGCTGAATAGAGCCATTGGTACTTTCTGAGGTTTTAATGTTTCATGAGAAACGGCCTCTACAAAGGTGAAATTATTTAAGGAGGAACGGACGGTTCGATCTTTGGAAAAGTGAACATTTTTATTTGACTTTTCGTACTCGCTTTCGAGTTCGTCAGCAAAACGGAAGCTTTTCACGTCTGCTGCATATTTCCTTCGAATTGGTCCAGTTCAATCATTGGCTGGTTCGTATAGGGAATGACTTGTTGCGATCGGGCGCTCGAGTGGAGGGAGAGTGGACGACTTGGTGGGTTGACGTCTGACTGACCCGCATGCTGCGGCTGGCCATTCGTCTCTGCTCTGGCCTTCGTAACCTTTTTTATTCGTCGGGTGTATCCATGCGAGTCAGCATCTGTACCAATTTCTCGTGCGGTTGAAGAGTTTCTTATCTGATGCGTTTTTTTCCGAAGTCATTTATGTTAAGCTTGGCAAACTGGCTGCGGTTTCGCATCATCATCAGGTTGTCACGACTACCGTTCCTCTATGTGCTTTGCTGCGTCCTTAACAGTTAACTATGCCTGAACGAAGTTGAACGCGAATTGTATGCATTTATCGCAGTGTCTGAATGTGTCTTTGCACCTCTGTATTCGGGTACTTGGGAGGACCCATATTTAATACGGTAGGAGACAGATGACTGTTCAGATTGGCAAAGTTGAGATATCCGGAGAGCCTGTCTTCGTCTTCAGATGACTGTTCGCCTAGATTTGCTGGATCTCTAATCAACATACTCTGTGAGTGATTGCGACGCCAGGCCGATGGGTTCTGTCGACGTCAAGGTCAGCCACAGTGCCCTGTGTTGTTTCAGACATGCTTTTTATGTGCGGCAATGCGTGTCTCAACTTGCACATCAGTTTCATGCCTAGTGTTCCTGGGTTGGCCAATGACACCGTTGGATGGATCTTCGATGTTAACAATTCTTCCTGAGTTGAACACTGATTCAGCGGTTCTCGGATTTGTCTTGCCGCATGTTACAGTATGTTCTGACTTCTGCATTGCGAGTTAACGCAGCTGCACTTGCATGACACTAGCTTGACTACTACCGCGGTTGCGCTGTTGCACCAGATCGAATTAGAAGCCAGACTGGCGCCGAGCACGTGTTGGGCAGAAACTGGCTTCTGCTATCGACGCTGCGTTTGATTTAATTTAGGGTTGGCATACACTTCCTACCAGCACGCCATAATAGGGGAGGAAGAAGTGACAACTCGCACATAGTAAATTTTGTACTCTTTTTAAGCCTCGCTGTTCTCAAAGCCATAACTTGGGAGGTTGTCAACTATCGGTATAACCCAGTTCCTCAAGGCAAACGGACGGCTTTTACGTCAACTGACTCATATGAGGTTCAAGTTACAGTGCGTGACCGATCTCATGAAATGTTGGCCAAAATTCTGGAAGGCGTTTCCGATTAGGAAGTATTACTTAAGTGGGGTTGTTATACTGGGTATCATGCAGCACAACCCTATAACACTTCGGACACGCCAGGGTGTCGGCTGTCGAATGCACTTCTTTTTGACCTCCTGCAGAAACCACACTCGGTATAAAATGACTACATAAGAAGCATGCATTTCTCCTATTGATTTTCGATGGCCTTATAAATTCAAATATATCCTATAGAGAAAATGCACAAGAATATGCTTTCTTTTGCTGATTTGGTAGGAAATCCCATCGTCTTCATATTTTATCCCCGAAAAAAGTGTGTCATTTGGTTTTTAAAAAGTTTTTAATTATGAGATTTTTAAGACCGTGCGATGTCCATGCATGCGAGACCACACCTGTCTGTTTAGTAATGCTCCTCATGAAATGTACAAC